TCGATCACGTTTAAATACAAGAGTATAGTCAACACAAGGAACAGTAGGTGAGATTGGTACGCGCGGCGCGGTAGTGTTAATCGAACGGATCAGATCGAAACTAACATTTTATAAGTGCACATGGCATACAATTGCAGAAAATTAGAAGACAAGATCTTATTGAGAATCAATCGTATGATTAATTTAAGATTTCTTGAATTTTTTATACATGCATGTGTTTGGCAAGGCAGGAATATGTTTTTTCAATCTTTAAGATTAAGTAGGTTTTTTTTTTTTTTTTTTACTTGCATTTTTTTATACATACATGTGATCGACAAGGCAGGAACATGGATTTTTTTCATTGAATAATCCCGGAATTTTTAGACGCTACATTGGGTTGATTTAAACTGTAAATTTACACATAATCACACACACATGTGTATGTGTGCTCACCGGCGAATCACCTGTGTACATAACACGATTTTCGCTTCAACTGTCAGTGGCCAATTTAAATGACGATTGTGCTGATTTAATCGACTCCAAATTCAAAAAAAACTCACCGTTTTGAAGCTTACCCACTCTGTTCAATATTAATCAGCTTCCGAAATAAATAAAACAACCAGAGCAATACCGATATAGACGAAGACGACAAGCAGCTAAAAGAAACATCAGTTAGTGCAGTACATTTATGTTTCAACTATATAATGCGAACTTGCGAAAAATAAATAACAATTTGATAAACCAAATTAAGATTGTATATTCGAATAAATTTATCGAACACACGGCGCTCTAGTCTTACCCTTCAACCACATGCATTCATACGTAAAAGGGTAATACTTGAACAAGAAGATTACAATTACAGATTCAACTACTCATCGAGTGACGAAAAATTACCCCTTGTAAAAGGGTTACAAATACAGAGAGCATATTACACAACATATCGATACCTACTCGGTTTCGTCTAACAAACTTGATAAATGCATGAAGTTTAATAAATACTTATACATCAATCTCGCCATGAACTCATTGCGATAATTCATCATTACGGAAAATCTCAACCGTCCAATTTCTCCAAGTAGTTCCACTTGATTGGGGATGATAAAGGAGTTTTTCAAGTTTCAACGGCTAGGCAAAAGAACACCCTGTGGAAACGAGGATGTCCCATTATTGACAGCTCCGTCAATTCCCAGAATCGAAGTAACCAAATTGTATATCTGAACATTCTCGAAAGACGGAATCTTTCTACCGACAGCAAATTCCGGTCCATGACCAATAAAAATAGTCCTCATCGAAAAAAACGCATTGTCGTAACCATGCGCACCTCCACATTCTTGACTCTTCGAATTCTTCTGCTCCACCTTAAACCCTTCTTCCACCAACCCAATAATCGGAGGGATTCTATAACTATCTGAATAGTGCAACCTACTCGGCAAGTCCTCCTTTAAATAAACCTTCAAATATTCGCCGTTATTCACTTTACCCGACTTCAAACCCTCGTTCATCTTATCCACAACATCAGCCAAAGAATAATTAGCCGGTGGGCGAATCGCGAGCAATGGAGTGTAAGACTGAACCCATTCCGTCGGAATATCGATCCAATTAACCAAATCATCTAAAAGATCATCTTTTTATCACAAGTGCCAACCATGCCATGATCACCCACCATAATCATATGCACATCCTCGAAGATTCCTCTTTCTTCCAACCGGTTATCAATCTTCCGATCAATCTATCTATATTAGCACGCTCAGTATCTGTTTATCGTCGG